TTAGTTAACTAATACGGTTAGTTAACTAGTACGTATGAATTTTTATCTCGAAAACTATTTATCGAAATTAATTAAATCTTTTTGCATTTTAAACTTGAATGTTTGAACTATCATAATAATCTTTTTTTCATTAGCAAATTCATTTTTTATTATCATAAATTGCAAATAAATTTTTATTTTTTAAATTTTTTAACAATGTTTAAATATCTAATATGTAATATATATATATATGGGTGTGGATATTGAAATCTCACCTACAAAACAAGACATTTTGCAAAGGTCAGCGACGACATATTTGAAAAACGTCCGAAACCGCTGTTGTCACGTATACGATTCAAAATCCTGGTGGCTTTGCTCTTAGGTTAGCCTGTACGTCTCGGAAAATTACCGAAGTAATTTCCGTCCGTCGACCCTCACAACAGGAGATGCAAAGCATCATCCTTCACGGGGCTTCATGGAGGCCTCAGAGGGACGTAGAACGCCCCCCCTAGCCACGGCTTGTCGACCACAGGGACACATAAAGCGCCCCCGCGCCGCAAAGAGATCGCCTACCAGTCCATAACATAACAATAAATTATAAACAATTAATAATTAACAATTTTGATGCCTCACGTTTCCACTCGTTACCCCCTTGCATTCTTTACAAACGTCCTCATAACTCAAACTATTAAATATATAACACCAAATCGCGACAAACTAAAAAATGTCGATAATTATCAACTAAAATGAAATATTTCACGTTCCTGTCATCAACAATTATGTTAAACTTTACCCGGAAAAATTGACTTTAAAAAATGTTCAACTTTTGTGGCTCATATCTTCGAAATGGTAGTAATAAAGTCATTAAAACTGTGAAAACAGTATGCACAGATTCCTTATAAACTAATTCCATTAAACGGATTTCAAGAATTGCGATTTTCATTTTTTGACTTTTGTCCACGTTTTCGCCGTTTTTCGCCACTGTGCGGCGTCTCGCAAACTTCTGCCAAGGCACGCGTGTAGGATTGCACACGTCTAATAAACAAAAGCCTAATGATTCGTCGAAAAATTCCGTCGCCTTGAATCGTCGAAAAATTCCATCGTACATCGCATAATATATTGTACATCAACGTCATCACGAACTATGTTACATTCCCTACATTATCAACGTGTTAATATAACATTCCTCGCTCTCCTATTTTAAATCTTTCACACGATCAGGACATTATGTAAAAATATAATGGACAAACTATTGAGTATAGTTGCAATTTCGATATATTTCAAAATATATACATACCGCCCACCGTAACCGTCAATACGTAAACACAACGTTTTACTAGTTTCGCATTGACATCATAAAGCTTGCACACTCTTAAACACCGTTCTATATTAGAATACAGATGCTAACACTGATGAACCATGTTCAACACCCCGTGGATTGTAATGAAAAGGCAGCAGCAACGCACAGTACGTCCTTTTCCTTCGAAGAACCGACGCCGACTGAGACTAGAAGGGGGTAGCAACACTTGTATAAACACCGTATCCAAGGGGTACGTAGTTTCGGTTGCTACGGAGCTACAAGTTAAAGAGAGGGGGTGGCTAAGACATGTAAAAAAAGTGCATAAAGAAAATATTATTTTCCGAGGGTGTCGAACTCGATGTACCTTCTGCCGCCTTCGATTTTCTGCGGAGTATTTGGTATAATTATCTACCCTATTTCGATGATTTTTATATTATGCAACTGCGCCTACTACTGGTCGAAGAAAACTGCTAAAAATATATATATATATAAGTTATATATAATTCATACAAAATATAGAGATATGAAAGGTATACGGATATAGAGGATATCGCAATATGGGGTAAAAGAATATTGGTGCTTTAAAGTTAAAGGACTATAAATATGTGGAATTCTGATGATATGAGACACCTAAGAATGTAAGGACTTATGGGATGAGGACGCGGCAGCGAAAAATAGAAACTATGATTTTCCACCTTTAACTTTCCGAGCTTTATTCACAAAGTGGTCCACGACCGTACTCTTTGACTAACAGTGATGAGCTGAACTTTCATACTCAAAACACGCAGCCCTACACACCCTGACGCATTCTAACCTAGAATCATTCTTTCCTCTTCCAAACCGAATCGCTCTCACTCTAAACCAATCATTCAACGATACACGTGTATTTCTCAAGCATTCCTCGAACTCGGACACCCAACGCGACACTCGAACTGATGATCCAAACATCCTCTCGCAAACGCTACGCAGCATTCACTCGGACCCAGGCAAGCAATTCATTATCGAATCTATTCACACCCAAAATCCTTAAGGCTAAACTAAATATGCATAATAAATTAAGCAGGGACGTGGCGGCCGCTAATCGACGCCACAGACTAAAAGGATAGACGGGATCTAGTGATTCGGAGTATAGCAATGTAGAAATTCAGGTGTAAAGTGAGTAAAGTGAGTTTATTGTTTATCAATGCGAAGAATGACAAAGTTGTCGAAATTGGAAATCGAATTGCCTTTCAAATAATTATCTTGCCATTGCTGTTCTTTGTCATTGATGGTTTGAGTGTGAGGAGTAACTTTAAATGAACCTGTCTTAATTTCAAATCGTTTGTCATGTGTCTTAGTTTGATAATTTGGAATTGGTTCCGAAAGTTTGTTTGTTTGTGTTGGATTTATTCAACACAATAAGTGTTGCCTTCAGCAAAAATCATCGGGTCGTAAACTTTCACTAACGTTGGAGTTTCGACTCAAGAGGTTGCAGATGTTTGTTTTTTCACCATAGGACCCATAGGGTCTATAGACTCGTAACGGATTTTTCCTTCGACGAGTTTTCTTATTCTTACGGTTTTCTTTGACGAGTAAAAACGTGTCTTTCCGAGCTTCAAAAGTTAAATTAAAGTTTCTGTCAAAATATAATTGAGTATCATTACTTTATCTCACCGCCTATTTCCTATAGTTTGTTTTCCTCGTTAATAATAAGTGTCTTAACAAAATGAAAGAGGAAAAAGTTTTACTGTTCTTTATTGCCGATATAATAGTGTGTGCACTTTTTTTATATTTGCAATATTTTTAGAGGAATGAAAATGGCCCGTAATTTTTTAAATGGAACTATAGTTTTTCTTAGATAAATCGATTCTCTGAAATATTCCGAATAAAAAAGTATTAGTGTGTAATGGTAAAAAAAACGATAATTTCTAAGATATGTTAAGTTTCTTTTTTAACATAGTATGCCATCTTTAACATCACCTTATTCATCAGTGATAGTGGATATCAAAAAAATAACACAAAATTGCACACCTGTGGCCACAGACGAACATTTTGATACCATATGTGTAGGGGTGCACCTGCCATCTTCTCACATAATTGCCGGCTGGAAACGGCTAAGCTCTGGGGAAAGTGAGAGTTAAAGAGGAAATATTTCTACAACATACAATAGCATTCATTGAAAAGAAATGTGTACGTCTAACTTAAAAAAGGAATATTAAAATTAACATTCTTTTGCGCGCGCTATTTCGAAATTGTAGCTAATGTAATGTTGTAGGTAATATCAGTTCCTGTTTTAAATCTGTAGTTAAAATATATTTGAAATTAATTTTATAACTTCTTATCAAAATTCTTTTGTTATTATGATATTCTTCTTATAAGTAGTTAGCTAGAAACGAATGGTCATTGTGAAAGCAGTAAAAAAATTTGTTATGAAATTGTAATAATCAATTTATTTATAATTGGAATTTAAAGTTTAATGTTTGGGTGTTTAAAAGGTTAATTTATCTAATTTAAATTATAAAAAGAACATAAATTATTGTAAATATAATTATTAATTGATAATACACGCTGCAGACTTGAAAAAGAATATTATACTATTTTCATGTAATTCCCTGCTTTGCTGACGGCTTATGTGTAAATTGTCTGCATGGAAATAATAGAATAATCTGAGTAGGTTCGTGGTAATTTTTAGTGAAAATGGGAATATCGTATAATGTGAATGTATTGTACTGTCTACATACACACATATATCGCGGAAAGGCGGCAAAAAGATGATAACCAGTCGTGCCTCCGATATTGTAACAGTTCATATTTTTCATTAAAACTTCTACCCTTACAGTGTTGTGAGTATCACTTAACCTACCTCGCAACAGTTATTTTACAATAGATGTAGCAGTATGAAGAAAGATTTTATGTAAATAGAATTTACGATTGTAACATATAGATAGAAAGTAGAATAACAAGTTGACAATCATGTGAGGCAGCTAATTTATTATCAGTTAATTCGAACAAAATCTAACAGCATCGACTACAACCAAACGATACAATGAATATATTCCATAACTCCAAACATTTTAACGATTTCAAAGATGAACCATAATTGTATATTTACGATGCCAACTACACGATATTTACATATGAAAATAAAATAAATAAAACATGTATCAAAATATATAATAATATGAAATAAAATATTTTATATGCATCTTTATTTTTGAGAAAATTGATGTGTCCAAAGAATTTATTAAAATGCTGAGATTCAGCAAATTGCCTGTCGCGATTCAATCCATATTGGCGTCGCAGAACTACGTGCATTTCAACAAGATGACAATCCTAACGGATAGGATGAGTGAGGATTCATCATCAGCATCAGTGCTGCTATGGTGGAGATCGCAACCATTGTGTTTGAAAGGCTGAGAACCGAAGGCCACAGTCAGAGTCAACGCATGTCCAATAGCCGGTGTCGTAGACGTTCGCGGACCAGACCATAGTCTATACAGGGTGTCTCACAACTCGTGTAACTCCCGGAAAGAGGTGGTAGAAGTCGTGATTCTGAACAACATTTCTCACAAGAAGAAACAAGATTTCTCTGTGCAAAAATGTGGTGTGAAGCTTCGCTTTTGAATTATTAAGCAAAAACACGGACTATTTTTGCGACGTACAAATTGTACATTTCTTAACACATTATTTGTTATATAATAAACAAATTAATTTTCTCACCGGTCAGAAGTCGTAAACAAGATAACGCGTAGTCCAGGAGACACAAATAAGATAAGCCAAAAACGGTAACGCAATTCAGAGATAAGAAAAGTATAAAAACAGAAGCAGGCAGGCACGCGTGAGATATTCGGAGATTCAGAGTCGAAGGAGACATTTGGAGCTCACGTGTTGTGGTGAGTCAAATATCGAGATCTTTCTATAACATTCTCGTAACAAGTGTAGCGGTTAAGAAATAAAGTTTTTTAAAACAAACGGAGTGATTTCCTGCGTAACAATTTAAATAAACAAAATTGGCGTTCCTGCAAAAAAGAGTATATAATTTATTATAACAAAGATACAAAAATTTGTTAGTTTAATTATGGTTGAAGATAGAGAGTAATAATTGATAAAACATTGCGGTGTCCAAATATTAATACGAGTCACTGTACATGCCTTTGATGTAATTGATCGGTACGAGAGATTTAGAGAATGTTGTTCATTGTCCATAAATCTAACATTTTAGCGTTTAAATTCTGTCGCTTTCACGTTTTATATTCTGCACCGTTGTAAACTGCTTTTTACTTACAAATATAATTACATCGCCGAAGTATTTCTTTTTTATCTTTTTTTCTTTCCCGCGATGCGTTTATGCCTCAGGTTCTGGGATAAATGCTAAACCGTCAATTTTGTTAGTCCCCTTACCCTTAAGGGGTAAGTGGTAGCCAGATCCTTAAGGAACAACGTTTCTATTCATTTAAGCAATGCAATAACAAACTGCTTGCTTTTTTCACAGTCTCACTAACTGACAAACAGAGCAGTCCCGCGACATCCGACAGCTACACACGTCAATAGCAATCGTCTGTCGCTTCACTTGAACACTCATAAACAACCTTTCGTTCAGATCTCACGCAGTCTATCCCTATCATAAAGTGCGCAAGGATGAAATAGATATAATTGTTCCGTACGATGGTACATCTGAGTGAGGATTTCGAAAGTTTATTTATAATCAGTCCGTTAGGCAGCCGTTTTTGAGTTAAAATATTTCGAGTTTTTTCTAGTTATTAATTTTACTACATGTCTTGCCATAAATTTAGAGTTTTCTCCCACTTGCAGCCACTTTACGAAAAAATGTTTAGGACAATATTAGCAGGGTATGAAGTGCACAATAGATATTAGTAAAGCAAATTTTTAAAACAGTTTGTTCTCTTGGCAAAGTCAAGGTCACCTTGGGTTTTTTAAATAGGAACATACATTTCTTTTTATTCATAGCTTTAGAGGACATCGAGACGAATTCAAAACATATATTATATGATATTTTTACTAATATATTACTCGATTTACAGAAGTGGAAATGTGAAGTAAAAGACCGGAATATTACGCGATGGAAGACGGCATACATTTTGAATATGTAATTAAAGTGTATTTTTCTTACATTCTAGTCGCGTGTTTACATACAGTAATCTCTTTGGAACCAAATAATCGTTACACTACAAAAGTCAAAAGCTAAGTACTTAACATTTCCACTTGTATAAATCGAGCAATATGTTGATAAAAATATCATGTAATATATGTTTTGAATTCGTCTTAACATAAACATTTTTTCGTAAGGTAGCTGCAAGTGGGAGAAAAATCGTGAGTAGCGTTACAGGTAACGCCCTGTATAAGAATGGAAAACAGTGTATGATAATATTAAACAATTAAAAGAAGCTATTAAGATGGATTGGGATAATTTGCCACAAAATACAATTAAAATGTTACACAAATCCTTACCAAAGCGGGTACTCGAAGTAATAGAAAATAAAGGCGGATTATTATTATTATCATATCATTATTGTTTCGAAATAAAGATAATAATAATAGACCTAGGCACTTCTGAGCCGTATTACGCCGCTGCGTACAGGCACTAATCCCTCCCGCACGGGATTAGTCCTATCGCAACGCCATCGATCGGATCGAAGGTTCAAACGATTACCGTTCCGATTTTAAAATTCAGATCCTTGTGAACCTTTAGCGAAAGCAAACGTCTAAGCAATTTTCAACCTAAATTTTAACCGCTTTTCCGAGTATTTCAACCAGTTTATATTATCGTTATAATTGTCCATTGTCCCGGGGTAAGCGCGCGTGTGAAGTGTTTAATAAATCATTTTGTGAACGTTTAAATTTATATCTTTTATTTTATTTAACAACTTCACGTGACTCTGCCTAAACATCATGTGCTCCGTATCCTCGCTAGGATAGAATTAGCGATTCGAGAATCGATCAACCGACTCGAGAAAACTCGTCGGAAAAGGTGATCCACGAAACAATAAGCCTCGGTCGAAGGGTCCTCCCCCCTCGTGGCTCCGGCTAGGTGAGGCCTGTGTCGAGGTTGGGTCCACTATTAAATATCTGGACATCGTCCTCGACAGCCACTGGCGGCGAAACAATTATTAACTTTGTATTAATTGCAATGTAACTTTCTTTTTTTATGAAAATATATGTATAAATTTTGTGAATGTGCTATCATTTCGCCGGCACTATTTGTATATTTCTTCTGCTTGCTCAAAAACCTAGCAAGGTCAACCATATTTACTAAGAAGTTCCTTCTCTCTGCCATGTAACAATTATAATGGTATGTATTACATTAAAAAATTCTAAGTAGTTTTCAAGAAATTAAAGATAGCACACATGTGCTATCCCTTTTTGTCCAAGGGTGTATATTATTTACTTCTTGTAATACGGGAAAATGTTGTTGCCACATACTCCGCTCTGTTGCAGTACATTTTATTAGGAATCCCTTTCTTGATCTGTTTAGTAAATGAAGGAATCGACAGTGGAAAGAAATTGAGGAGTGCAAAGGAGTAATATTATTAAAAGTTATTAATGTACATATTATTTTTGTTTATAGGAGGCTATTAGTGGAAGCAATTTTTTTTTTATTTGTTACTTATGTAAGTAAAGTTATCGCAAAAAAACTAGATCTACAAATACTTTTTGGACCTACTGTAAGTTCTATACTGATAGCAAAGGTTCGGCAAGAGCGCTCACTTCGTGCTGGGTGTCACCAGGAGACTGCTAAAGATGCGGATTTCGATTGACGGTTCGGCGTATTTAGTTTTTGTCTGAACATACTGTACGCCTTCTTCTAAGGCGAAGCAAGTTCGGACAAGATATTGTGTAGTGCCAGTCAAAACGTGTTACGAAGAAAGCGAGGGTGCCGAAGCCATCAGAAATATAAGTAAATATATAGTAACCATTCCATATACGTAAATATGTCCTTTACCCCCATTTCTTATTTTTTCGTTGTCAAACTTTTACCAATAGATTTTTTGCACTTTCCAATTAAAATGAGACCAAACACGATATAATGTGGACTATATTTATTTGTTTAATTGACGATAAAAGTTTTTAACATAGAGGAGGGTAGCGAGTGAAAAAAAAACGTCATGATCGTAGCAGTCGGCAATGATCAAAAGTCTGTTCAATTCGTTACAATGTGAATGTGTTGCTAACTTTTTTATTTGTCATCCAATTTTTATACAACTTTCTCCATCATATTCGTCACATTTTCCTGGTTAAAATTACACCAAACACAACGTAATTCGATTTATATTTACTTACAATATCTTGTGACGAATACGTCACGCAGTCGCACACCGTCAACCGCGCTCCGTCAGCCGCGCACCGCGAGGTGGGGACCCCCCCACCGAAATCCGATACTACCTGGATAGCGGTCGATCAAAGGATAGATGAGTTGGCTCGGGGCTGCGGCCCCGACAGGACCTCTTCGGAGGTCCTCTTCGAGGTACTAAAGCTTCCTAGTCTGCGGATAGCCCCAGGCTGGGCGAGCTGGAGGCCGGCGTCGCGTCGGTGCGACGGATAGACCTTGCATCGGAGTTGGTCGCGCCAACCCTCGGCGGCAACATACCGACCGTGGAACGATGGACAGCCCTCGCTCCGCGGCTGGCAGGGACCCGAGCGAACTATCAACCGGCTTCTCTACCCTGTGGATAGCCTCAGGGAAGGTAAGCCGTGGGCAAGCACCCCGTCGATGGATAGCCCTCGCCGCGGAGCCCGCCAGATCGTCGGGTGTGCACAGTAGGATGGCCTTTATTTTTCGACTTCCGATTTTTTTTTTCTCACACCCTAAACTATTGACACTTGATGAACAAATGATAATGTCAAAGTTTCAGCATGATTGGATAACAGGAATCCGTGCCGCAATCGAGCTGGAATTTTGAAATTTGCACGATTTCAGGTTATCGTCGAATATGTTAGTGGCCTTTTATTTTACAAATATCAGTGAATATTTTATAATGAAAATATAATTTTTTATACATATAATTTTAGTGTTGGTGTACAATTTTCAAAAATATACTGAAAATTACTCAATTTTACCGCTAACGTTAGTATGAATCTCATTCTCTAGTTGCTGAAGCGGTCATCTCGAATACGAAAATTAATCTCCTATTCAGTTAGCCATTAGAGATCTTATGTAAAATGAAGCAAATATTTCGGTATTAAAAAAACGTATAGTAAGTGATCTGCATGGTAGATTTACAAAAAGATTCCCGGCAGTTGTGAATATTACCGAGTTTTATCTGATCAAGGGATCAGGTAAGAAGTACCGTTTTTTAAAAAATTTTAAAAAGCTTGGCCTAAGATTAATTTATCAAATTTCAAAACAGGTATACAAGATTCTTATGTTTACGGAAAAAATCCAGGATGTAGAACAAAAAATAAATTTTTGCTTGTACCATTTACGACAAAAGCAGCCGAGAGATAATTACAAAGAACTTTTGAAGTTGATGATAATTTTTCTTGGTGGATCTCTTCCACGAGGAAATACTTTCCATGTTCCTGGAGCGTTTCATAATGACAGGTGGATGGCTAAAGCAATTTACGTGTTAAAAATTTATTCCGACAAGAATTTTTATTGGATAGTAACGAAATAATAGGGATAAGTGATACATGTATTCTTTTAGCTAATTTATACATTCTAGCCTGGATTAATGCACCAATTTCCGTAAGAGTGCCATTACGAGATCTAAAATTCCTACAAAATCTATACGTGTATTCTACAATTGATAATACTATTGCTAGAATAGAAATACGCAAATTTTCTAACCATTTATGGTACCTTGTATCTAAGAACGTGGCATTATCCTTTTTCGATGAAATAATACCATTGAACATAAAAAGGAAAATGATTAAGGCTCTAAAAAATGATAATACGGAACATTCAGTAAAGAAACTTGTAATACTTCCGGAAAACGTACAAAATTTTGTAAATATGAATATTGATAGCTTCATTTCTACTGAATCCAAAAAATGACTTAACAGGTACAATATACCTAAAGATTTCTTAGAGAAAAACCCTTCCTTGTGGAAAAATGATATTTCATATTAAAAAGGTTTGCACATTGCAAGAAATTTAAAAGTAGTAAATCATACCGCTGAACGCGGTGTTAAACATATATCTGAATATAATAATCTGTTGACCAATAATGAAGATAAAAAACAATACATTTTACAAGTAATTGAGAATTAGAAAAGCTTTTATCCTAATGAAAGCAAATCTACATTAACACAGAATGTGTATTAAACGCTACGTACAGTTTAATAATAGGCTAATTTATAAGACATAACTGAAATTCCATTAAAGAATATTTTGCTAATAAGTATTTAAACAAAATTCGTTTATAAGTGCTAAAACAACCGAGATTAATGGAAAATTTATCAACTTTTGTACAAATTAAGTACAGCTCCCAGTTGCCCAACCGTTACATTCTCCGGTAACTTAAAAGCTACGTTACATTTGTGTGTACATATATTGTATGTAAATATGTAAATATGTATGTGTTGTAATTGTATGTAAGTGCTAGCATTACACTTGTAAAAAATTATATTTTCACTATAAAATATTCACTGATACTTTTAAAATAAAAGATCACTAACATATTCGACGATAACCTGAAATCGTGCAAATTTCAAAATTCCAGCTCGATTGCGGCACGGATTCCTGTTATCCAATCATGCTGAAACTTTGACATTATCATTTTTTCATCAAGTGTCAAAATTTTGGGGGGTGAGACGATGAAAAATTCGAAAAAAAAAATCGAGCTCTATAGCTAAGGGCCACCCTAATCAACTCGATTGCGGCACGGGTTCCTGTTATCCAATCATGCTGAAACTTTGACATAATCATTTTTTCATCAAGTGTCACTATTTTAGGGGTTAAGATGATGAAAAAATCGAAGAAAAAAATCGAGCTCTATAACTAAGGGCCACCCTAGTGCACAGCTAACTCCAGGAACAAATCTGGGTCATTAATAAGAGAAAGACTAGGCTAAAAGTGGCCATTATCCCGGTGTTATTTATTCTCCTACCCTCCTCCTCCTCTCGGACGCGAGTAGACCTAAGATTCGACCGTAGTTGTAAGCACTGCGAACGTGGCGAAGACGTTCCCCCGACCGTACCGAGAACGTTGCGAAGACGTTCTCCTAACTGTACCGCGAACGCCGCGCCGGACGTCCCTCCGACCGTAGCATGTAAGATAGTATGTAAGACAAGATGTTAGAATACCCACAATACTGCGCCACCACCGTCACCGTATTAATCGTGTACCACCGTTATGTATTGTAGAAAGCCACAACAGTGAAGCGAACCGCCACCGCGTCCGAGGCCCCGGCGGATACGCGCAAATAAAAAGGTTTAGTTATAGTAAGCCAAGGGTTGTTCTTTACCCCCATATCAGTCCCCTTCATTCCGCGATCGGCCCCCTCGCAACGACCCTGGTTCGCTGAAGCGTCCGGCACCAGGGGGCCCGCGAGTCGCGTACGCCGCCGTGTCGCTTAGCAATGCGGCAGGTGGAGAACAACAACGTTACAATCTTATTGGAGTAAAGTCATTGATGTACGCGTAACATTTAAAATTACAAATAAATATGTCCCGAATTACATCGTTTTTTGTTTCATTTTATTCACGAAAATGTCACAAATATGTTGGTAAAAGTTTTATAAAAAAAAAAATCAAAAAGTTTTATTCTTGCATTAGGATTGTTCCACCGATATGTTACTGTTTGTTTACGTTCGGTCTTCTTTGCTCGAAATGTAATGCCTTCATAATACATGCAAACAACGATCGTGTTATTTTTCTGTTTGCCCTTTTCTACGTTCGACAAACCATTAATCAATGTAGGATCTATATGATATACGCAAAACTATAGGTCCGAAAGATTTGTTCATATAAAATGATTACTGTACATACATTCTGATTAAATATTATAGTTACAAAGTGCAAAAGCTGAAAGTAGTATACAACTTAAAGTATAGCTATAGCAAAATATAAATCTAATAAATATGACATAACGCGATCGAATACATAGCAAAGTATTGCAAATCTAAAACAGTATGCGATAACTTACACGAGTCGTGAGAGAAAAGAGAATCTCGGACGGCCGGAGTTTGTAAGGGCTTTGGAGCCACGATGCGACGATCTGTGCTGTCAAAGATCCGAGCGCTTTAATTTGATTAGGATGATGCCTCTGACAGCAAGATTTACTCGATTCCCCGCGGAGTTTATGTATCATCAATGTTCCACAGAAACGTTAGTCTGACCCGGTCAGCGATAAAAGGTTTACATAGAGAAGTGTAACTACGGATCCAGGTCCAGATGATGCTGGACTCCGCACTGTGACCGTGACAAGTAAGTTGAGTTCCTGCTTGATTAGTACCAACAGCTTAGCGAAAAGCGCGGCCCCACGTAATTACAGCCGTGAAATGCTGATCGTCTTAATGGGGGTCACCTTGGTGTTAACAACATGGTTTTGCCAACTCGACATTCAGTCACTGTGAGATACACGGCAGCTGTATAAGCACGTTGAGGCGCGTTGCAGAATTCATGCAGTTCGTGGGTATGCCCAGAAGAGTATTGTGTCCTCGATAAGGAGATCATCTCATCTTACGCCAAGCATCCATAGAACCTGTGTTAGAATTTTCGCAAAGATTAAAACTGAAGCGGCTCATTCGTGGGAATTAAAAAGACTTGAAGCGTCAGAGTATCATCCTGCAGACTTTATTTGATCCTCAAGTATTCAGCCCCTCCAATTCCGTGGCGGGCATCCGTGGCATCAGAATCTTAAAACTCTGGTAAATTCGAAGTGATTTTCTTTGTTATAGCTGCACCATAAACCGATGTGCCAAGTATGGAGTGGGGGCGGTCCCATAGATGATGATCGTCAGATTAAAGTTTTGTATCGTCTCATCTGAACGATGGCGCCAAAGAACGCGATGCTAACGTGCAATCGGATGGATGGACCCAAATTTGCTAATTAACCGACTTCGAAAAAGGAGGAGGTTACTCAATTCGATCAGTATTTTTTTTTTTTCTATGTGTGCCCGCCGATTACGCCTAGCTGGATGGACCGATCGGAACGAAACCTTTTGCATCTGTTAGGTTCTGACTCCCCATTGGTACCATTATCAAAAAATTTTTCATTTTTTAATTGCAAAGTATTGTTATGTTGATGTATAAAATAATTTTCAGAAAAAAAATACACCGACTTCGAAATGCACTAAAAAGTATCAAATAATTTCTATTTCCTAATGAAGTAATTTCTATTTCATTCAATCATAC